TATAAACATGTAACCTTTAAAGTTGAGAAACGCTAATCAATCACTTTTCTTAGAAGAGAAAAGCAGTGATTTCAAATCTGCTCTTACTTTAGTACATAATCGCCCTTAAAAGGATATACAGCCGTTGAAATAGTGCCAATGTAGCGAAAAAGTACCTTTCGGCGGTACTCGTGCAAAATCCTCAACGTAGCCGTTTTTTTAATACTGGACGTTTGGAGCAGTTCTAGTAAGCATTGATAGAGCAAATCTTCTAGTTTATGATGGCGTATTTACTTTTCGGATTGGATGAGTTTGAACGGAGTTATGGCTTTAGGAAGTAAAAAAACTCGCACTCATCACAAATTTTCCTCGTTAATTTTGCGAAAATCCTCAACGTGGCCATTTTTCGAATACTGGACGTATAGAGCTGCTTTAGCAATGGTTTGGTAGAGAAAATCTTCTAGTTTTGTCTGCCATATTAACTTTTCGAATTTGACGAAAATGAAGCAAGTTGTTGCTTCGGAAAGTGTAAAAACTCGTGCTCATCTCGAATTTTCCTCGTTAATTGACCTAAATTTGTTATTTCTTATAACTTTTTTGTAATTTAAATACTGATTAGAAAAAGCTCTTTCACAAAACTTCCAAATCTGCTTTCAGATTGAAAATTCGTCATATTTGAAGAAAGTTATAATCATTTGAATATTTGTTCAAATTTCAATAGTAAATAAGCTGCTCCACGGTCAACGCCAAAGTCCAGTCAACACACAGCTGGCGAAGGCGGTTAAAAAGCTTCTTTCAACTGAAGGGCTACGTGCAAATTGAGAACCACAATCTGTGTAGTACTAGAATTTGGTAAGTCTTGTGGAGGAAATAAATAAAGAACAGATGTTGTCATAGTATGCCATTTTTAGTGGCTAGTTTGTCGTTTTCTGGTCTGTTTCTCGTTTGCTCGTTTGGTAGGACTCATCAATAATGAAAATTCTTTGACTTTTTCACTTTTGTACTTCTTGAACGAATTTTTTTGTGGGCGGTGGGGTAGCAGGGCTTTTTATGAGCAGTTTTGGGGGAGAATTAAACAAGCTTTTCAACCTTTTCATAGTTCGGCTTTTGAAGAGGGTTGTTTCATGGACTTCGGCCTCCGGCGGAGGGTGGTGGGGGGGGGGGTCGTATTTCCAAATTTTCCTCAACGCCTCGCTTGACCCTGACTTCCCGTATACTATTACGATAGCGCTCAGAAGCCTCCTGAACTGAAAAACACATCGCTGGATAGTCCAACCCAAAACTATAGTCCCCCCAACGGAAATCGAAGGAATTAAAATAGTTCTCAAAATATTTTTCCCGAGAAGTTTGAGATTCTGAATGTAAGTAAATACGGCTTGAGACAACTATGAGGTGCATACAGTGGTGAGGACGATCTGTAGTAAGAACGAAAATCGATAAAAGTCGAAAACAAAAGAATAGCTGAAGCTGTCATCTCATTGGAATATTTTGTGATAGTTCACAGTGGTGGCTTATATTGAGTGCCAAAATCAGACAGCGATCGCGAAATTAATAGTTGATGACTGACTGAAAGTTGTAGAAGAAAGCGAGGAAAAGCACAAATGGCGCAACAGCACCCGAAAGACAGGAAGGAAAGGTTGAAAGCACAGTAAAGTTTGTCATTTTCTTCTTTCGATGGTTTTGCTTTCCTAGTACTTCTTATGCGTAACTGTTTCCTGCTATGTTGATCACTAAACACATTTTCATGAGTAACTGCATCGATTAAGGTCGTCGAGGAGCATTTATCTTCTTCGTCCCCCTAGCCTTAGGCCCGCGCAGAGATTTGATCTCGGCGATCTAGCATGGCTCACTCTTGGCGCGGTTGGCGGGGTACGCCCACCGACTATCTAATCACTCGCCGCAGGTCTATACGTGGCGAGTGATTAGATAGCAGAGAGAGCGTAGTGTTGAAGAGGGCACAGCGATGAGAGTCGCATCAATGCGCAAATCAACGGGCAAGGAAGGGGTCCCATTTCTCGGGTTCTGGGCCGTTTCTCATGGTTTTCCTTCTTTCGTGTACCACTCACCATCCTTACTTAATTTGAAATGGGTTGCTCTTCATTGTCAATTCTGCCTTTGATGAAAATACCCTGACGAGGGAAGTCTTTCAGGAAATGCCCAGCTTTCTCGAAACGGTTTTTTGCATGATATAGGGGTAAGTGCATGGAACACAGAACTGTAGATTCATTTCTTCCTGAGAGCGGCCTTCTGAATACTAAGAAAAGGGGGTAATGATGTGGTCCATGGTTCGAATCCTCACAGTGACAATTTTTTGCATTTTGTGTTGGCGCTTCAAAATTCGCGAAAAATGCCGTCAGCGTAAACGACTTATGTCATGGAGGCTGTCAGCAACCTTTATATTAGGTTGGTCCACAGGTGTTGCAACAAATTACATTTAATGCATAGAAAATTTTTGTAAAACTCCGAAAAATTCGCTACATGTTTGCTTACGAGCATCCACCTTTGCAACTTCAGCCAACTATCCAGCTCGTTGTCGCGCTAATTGTTGTGGATATTACATCGATTTCTCGCTGAAAATTTTTTCGTCCCATCTTAACTTACGAAAGCACTGCTTGAATGGTGTCGAATTATGCACACAACGATTAGCCAGAAGATGAGCGAGGGCGCGCTCTCTCAATTCGCAGTGCACAGACGCATCACTCTGCTCAGTGTGAATTTTTTTATCTGAAAGATGATCCACACTCCGACCACCCCGTGATTGACAATCACGATGCTTCTTTCTGGCGCTGCTGAAAAGGGATGGACTATCATCATTAGTCAAGAGAGCAATTTCGATGCGACAAGGAGACAGCACTGTGGCATCTCCAAAGACTTGTGAAGATCCGAAAATGTAGAGTTTGGATCCCACATGCCTTGAGCCCGAATCAGCTCCAAACACGATCTGACATCGTTATGTTCAAGTCGACTTACTATGGATTCTTTGATTGACCATCCATCACATTTGCCGATGAGGAGGGGGTACAGTGTGCTAACAAATAAACAAGCGGCGGTAGTCCAGCTCAAACGCTTCGGGAGTTCTTACTGCTTAAGTTCAACCTCGTCCAAGTAGGGCCTTCTCGGATTTTTGGTGGAACACGAGAGGAGTTGAGCTCTGGAAACCCTTCGTGTAGATGTCGCAGTCAACGCGAAGTCAACCGTCCACAGCTCGAATGCAACGCTTTCAATACGAAAGAAAAGCAAGGCAAAGTTTGCTTTTATGACACCGTTGAACCACCTCTTGCTAAGAAAATTCAGGAAAATTTTGGACTCTCGGACGGAGAGTTCTTCCGTATCCACCTTATAGCCCTGACCTCGAGCCAAAGGATGCCCACCTGCTTCCCTCTCCAGACCACGTCCTAGAGAAGAAATCTCATCCTAACCATCATGATGTCAAAATCGACATCTGATCTTTCTTCGATCAGAATTCAGTAGAGTTCTACAAGAGAGGCATCGAACAGCTTCTAGTGCGTTGGCAATAGGTTGTAGATATTGATGGTGTGTAGCATGCTGGATGAATGGAACAAAAAGATAATAAAATATTAAATTCAAAATTCGGCCAGTTTGTTGCAAGACTTATGGACCAACCTAATACATAGACTTTGGCCAAAAACTGGTGAAGAAAGTTAAGAACGGCAGTTCCTTAAGAAATTTTTCTTCGCTCCTTTTTTGGTATTCAGAGGGTCGCTCAGGAAAAATGAACCACAGTTCTGTGTTCCATGCACGTACCTCTATATCATGCAAAAAACCGTTTTGAAAAAGCTCGGCATCATCCTGGAAGACCTTCCTGATGAGATTGCAGGCTGGATAAGATTTACCGGAAGCTTTGCTGAAACTCTTCAAGGCATACACAAGATGGCCAAGTACAACGAGAGATTCATTCAATTATTCAAACGCATAAGAACAATTTTTACAAGGCACATAACTGGCAGATTCAGCGTGAGCACGTTTACGGTGAACTGTACAAAGCTGAAGGTAGTAATCATGAGAAAACCTACTATGAGCATCTTTACATCTCTATGTACAACTCAGAAGTTCAATCGAATAGCTGATGAATTTCATAAGCATTTCAGATTTCGTTGTCGAACTTTGTTGATCAACTCGTCGAAGTTCTTGTCAGTGTACTTGTGGCGTAAGTCACTCGCAACGACTTCCAATGTATAATCGTTGATCGTCACCGCGTTCTCAACGTGCCCCTAAAAAGAACAATTGAGAAGAAGAAAGCCACGAGTACAAAACTGAGGCTGCAACTCCTTGATTTTTGAAAACAGCCTCAGGATTCGAACCAGGTCAACCCTGCGTTGCGCAAATTCCAAAATTTTTACGACCCCTTTCCTTTTCGGAGGGTATCGGTACGACCCCCCATATTAACTATTATGTCTTTCACATAATTTAATGCTCATCATTGATGTATGGGCAGTCACCAACATGGAGAAGTGGTGGACCGTGGTCAATCCGCGCGCTTTGTCTCGCTCAGAGGAGGAATCGAGGCAAATGAAGTTTTATTCATTAAATAGAAGGAATTTCCAAATTTTTGCGTAAACCAATACATGATTTGAATCGCAAGGATTTCTACTTTCAGAAACCTACCAAGTTTTTTTTCGATCTCTCAATTTTCCTTATTTGATAATCTGAAAAACTATCTTGGCTATGCGATTACAGTAAAGTAACTCCAGGATGAATTGGTGCTGATCAGGCGCCACTCTTGCAGGGTCGCCTAGCTCAGACGACCTGAATGTTGAAACGAAAGCAGATAAACTGTTGGGGATGATGCTGAAATTTAATCGTTGTTCTGACCCCTAAACAGGGTCGGATTGTTCGGTGGGATGCGAGAAGGGAGGCAAAGAAGTCAAAGGACGCGCTGAGACGTCGTCGTGAGAGGAGGACTCGGACGCTAATCAATGCACGACTGATCTCACACTTTCGCGGGGTGGGAAGCGATGGAACTAGTTTTGGCGTCGATGGTTGCAGTCCCGTAAGGATTAGCGCCGTATCGCGCAATTTTTGCAACGAAGCTGGAGTTCTAGGTAGTTACAGACCCTACAATTTCCCTCGTGATATCCCTAGTCGGACCAATCCCGGGGTTTGCCTTTAAGATACACCCTCGTTTCGAAGGTTAGGTGTTCTCTCAAAAGGATTGGGTCTTGAGATAGGATACAAAATTTAAAAAAAAAGCAAAACCTGTTTTATTACTAAAAAGTCTTTAAGATGTTGCAAATGTTCATTTCTTCAGAAAGTCATCCCGTTGTCGTTTTTTGTCACACCTCGCCTAAATTTTCGACTGGGCAAACAGTTGATGACTTCCTGCGAGTATCAAACTGTTGTGCAATGTTCGCAAGCTAATTAGAAACCGCAACATGAGGCGTTTTCGACCGGTGCTGAAACGTTTTCGAAGATCGCTTTTCAAGAAATAGTCTCATGGTTCCGTTTTTTCCCCCTTGATTTTTTCAAGCCATTTTCCTGACTGACGTGACTTTACAGTACCCAAAATGATAGTCAGACCAGTACCGAAGGGAGAAAGTCGCTGGTTTGGCTGGCCTCCTCTACCTGTATATTAAGACTGCAGCAGTCAGTCTGCAATATGCTCAGGAAACGGGCTGTAGATAGCTCGATTTGGTGCACTGTATTGCATGAAAACAAACCGTGTAAGAGACAGAGTAGATCTCGTAGCCCATTGCAGCAGCTTCCTTAGCGGTCACCTCTGGTTCAGGTCCTTTATTACTCCAGCCGTCAGTAAACACAACCATCACCTACAAAATGATGAAATAAGCTGAGGAAGATGTTTCTTTGATAGAAATTCTATGCATACCTTCGTAGCAATACCAGGTCTTGCTCCTTCCCTTTCATTTGACTTGCTTGGCACCTTCCCTGATTGCTTCCCCTGAAATCACATTAACATTGCTTGGAAATTGACTTGTTGGAGGACATCGCAAATTTCAATGGTCTAGGTGCCAGACACGAAAGGCGAAAAGTTTGATGATGTTCGCCATGGGCGAAAGTGTCTCTTTCTTTCTGACCACCCCTGTACAAGCTGGAATAATTATTGAAATTGCAAAAAATTGGCTAAGAGCTACTCGTTTGAATGGCGACGCAAATTTGAGAAGTGGCGATGGGTAGATAGATTAGGCAGATAGATAGAATTATAGTATAGATCTACAACAGGATAATAGTTCTTATTTATTTAGTAAACTGTGATAGCGGACGATGTTGATTGCGTTCTACATAGCAAATCAAATACAAAAATCTCCTGGTGGAATTGTTTTCTAGGTTGATAAAACAAAGCTCTCAGAAGGCAGAAAACCGCAGCGCGAAGTCCCACAAGCAATATTTCAATTTTTCAAGTTTGATGACATCTGAGATTCACAGTGGAAGCGTGCTCAGCTTTTCCTTGGAAGGTCGTTCGTTACGGCAGTGGAACTATCCGTTCACGCAATACCTTCAGTAAGAACGGAGTATTATGTACACTTGTTTGCCCTTAACAGTATGACGAGGTGTTAGCACTCTTGGTGTCTTTGTAGTTATTCGACCTGAGCGATGGGGTGAGCGAAACAGGTTTTCTAAGCGCAGTGTCCCAGCCGTTGATTATGTCATAAGGCGCCCGACCCATATCATTTTCATGGCGCCACGCTTTTCTCGACAATGAGAAACTTGATTTCCACTGTTATAAGACAGCTGGTGTCCTTCGAACAAAAGGATGTCGAGAGTCGAAATGACAAACATTTGCGAAGGGCGTCAGATAGTAATGGAAAGTTCGTTAAATTGGGTACAAAGGAGCTATTAAAGAATTGCACCAGCCAATACAAATGAAGAAAGGAGTTAGAAAATGATTTCAAGGCTGGACTTAAAGGCAGCGATTACGATAATTTCGAAAAGGTTCAGGGGAGTTGTGGTGGTGCTCATTGGTATGTCGATGGCGAAAAAAGCAAAGAAATCCGCCAAGGGAAATGCGAA